AGTCTCTCCTTCACATCGGACTCTGAAGAATCGCTTGCTTCACTTTCCATCTGTTTCTGTCTGAAGAAAATGCACATTTTACAACTGATTTTATCCAAAGGAAAAACCTAAAGGTTCCTATAGAGATTAAATACACTTGAAATAATCTTGCATGAGAATAGCCCATCAAACTTCACACTTACTCTTCCAGTGATTTTAATGCAATGGTCACCTTTTCCTCTAAAAGACTGGGATCTGAAAGTAATTTCTGCACGTCCTCCTTCTTCTGTTCTAGCAACATCCCTAGATTGTAGAAACAAACATTAAATGAAGATAACTAACATTAATTTGATAATATTAGTGTTTCACATGCAACATTTTAATATTTATAAACTGCCAATAACCATAGAGGTCTAATATCGTATTGTTTTAGAGGTTATATGACATTCTTTTATCTATATTTTATTCATGTGCTAAAGATGTGGTTTTAACAAATCTCTCATCACTCTTTAAGCAAGCTACAATACACTCAAATTATTAATTATTTCACAGTTTAAGAAGCCTTTAATGGGCTGTTTGAAAGATCCTGTTTTCAAAACCAGACAAGAAAAAAAGAAAAACCAATGATAAAAACTGCATTGCCTGCTTCAAAAGGTTAAGATGAAATCTAGGTGTTTTCTTTTTCTTTTTATTCTATTTAATTTTATTCTGTTTCACTAACTGTGGATGATTAATATTATATTAAGATATTTCAACAACTGACATTGTTAGAATACCATTCTTTGCCAGTTTGTAATCTGTGCACCAAATTTCTGGTTAGTGCAATGCCACCTACTGACCTGTGGCACAAACAGCTCAACATAGGCAATAGAAGTTTCTCAATTCTTAAACCTTGCAATTCTCCATTTCTGATATTCAGAAAATAAGAACTAAAATATCAACTCTCTGCAAATACCTGTAGATTTTGGTTATTTTGGCACTGTCCAGTGGATTTTAGCATATCTGCTTGAAGCTGAGGCCGTTAAGGTGATGTGTGTTCAGAGGCTCAGACAGACATGGTAATGCTAATGTGTGTGTTCAGAGCCTCAGACATGATCCATATCTGCACACTTTCAGTTTGCAATAAATCACCTGTTATCTGCTCAGTATATCCAGTGTTGTAGACGTCCACAAGCTCATACAGCTGATCACCCTGGGAGTCGGTGGAGATAGAGGTCCCATCTTCAACATAAGGTTCAGTCTTGCTGCAGAGTATAGTAAAATCAGATTAGATCACTTTTATTGGCCATATACAATTTTCTTGTATAAGGAATTTGTCTTTTCGCGTACCCCAGCTTACTCTCCATGAGACACACAGACAAGGAGAGAAGCTGGGGGTCAGAGTGCAAGGTCAGCCTTTTATACAGCGCCCCTAGAGCAGTTGGGGTTAAGGGCCTTGCTCAGAGGTCCAACGGAGTAGGATTCCTCTGCTGGCCACAGGATTTGAACCGGCAACCTTCCAGCTACAGGCGCAGATCCTTAGCCACAGAGCCACCGCACTGCGGTGTACACACCACATATGTTTTCTTCTGCTTTAGCCTAAACCTAGTAAATATCAAT